CTGCAAGCAAAGCGATATCAGCCACATTCTTAGATTAACGTTTTCGTAGTGTCGCTTGAACAAGTAGCATCAACATTTTCCTAAATGAAAGTTCATAGCCATACCAACCACCACCTTCCAGCTTGGCTAATGCTGCGAGATCAAGCTAACCAAAATGTGCTTGCTGTGCTTCATTACGAAGTAAATGTGAATGAGGCCTGCGTATGTAAGCGGCAAACGACAATAATGGCGTTCACTCGCCTTTGCTATGAATTCTAATCGCATTTTATCATTAATTTCTTCTAATTCACGGATCTTAGACGCCGCTGGAGAAGCCTAAAGAATACGATCCATAATTATAAAAACATTCGACTGTATTACAAATGCAAAAGGCAAGAGAAAAGCGAAAAAGCATGCAAGCACATCCTCTCTTTCAATAGATTTTCTAAAAAAAGGCTATATATTTATACATTCACAACCATGGTGCCTTCAGAACAACATGCAGTAAACTGAAAATCATTGAAATGGTTTCAGCAATATTCCAAAGACTATTGCGCAGGAGTAGTTTGGTACGGGATATGTCTCTGTTCTTCTTCGGGTGATGAAGTTGCGCAACTACGCGCAACACTAAGGCAGCGTTCAGACTTCGCGACGGCAGCGCTTCGGTCGCGCGATTCGACGATCGATGCGCATGCTTTCGACTGCATCGAACGCGCGACCGAAGCGCTGCCATCGCGAAGTCTGAACGCTGCCCAACCATTTGCCCATAGCTCAGCATCCTTGCTTCAACTTTACAAGTACGAACTACGGCTCAACCAGTAGGTAGCATACCAAAACAACGGTCAAGCCCTTTGCTTCACGTTTGACGGAGCCTTATACCCGAAATTAGTTTGAGTATAGGTATGCTCCAGAAAAAAAGCATCCGTAAGCTCGTTCAGAGAGCTCCGTGGTAGACACTTTTAACGGGCCCGTGGACCAACGATCCATCTTTCAAAAGGCCGAAGCCGTCAAAAGTGTAACTTTTATTCTTACAAATGCTACAAAATATCATGAAGTGCGCATGAATAGAAACTCCAGTTTGCGGCGGTTGACATACTAGCGCACTGTACGCCATCTATGTTGCAACTTAACAAGCGAAATACTTAGCAAGTCGAGTCAACAGTCTGCGGCTACGTCTAATCAATTTGGTCCTGCTGCGAATGCCACGCGCGTGAGACCACTGGCAGCGCTATGTCGCACTAGCAACGCCGACGCAATCCGCTATCCCAAATATCCATCAAAATGTAAGGAAAAAAAACACGTAAGGTAAGCTTAGGGTGAAGTTTCAATAGAATTTAATCACAGCTACACTGTGAAGAAAAACAACCAAAGAATATTCAAAAGATACCTGATCTTGTCGCAACTTCATCTCGCTCTTCAGTTGTTCTTCTCTTTGTTTCGCTTCCGACTGTAGGGTTGATAATTGTGCTTGTTCTTCCTTGAGCTTTTGACGTAGTTCCAGAACGCGCTTCTCCTCCTCAATCAGGCTATTCTGTACTTGTCGAAGAGAGGCTGTTGAACTGAAAGAGACTATTTCGGTTATTCGTAACTGGAGAACACAAAATGAATCTCAGCAAAACTTTTTGGCGCATACCTTTCCGATGCTACAGCCGCAGATGCAGCACACTCTTTCAATTCTTCCTTTAATTCAGAAATTTCGTCCTCAAAAGCCTTTGTCTGCACACTCTGTATGAGAAAAAAAAACCATTGAAAAGATAGTAAAAATGTGATTTTACTTAGCTTTCCATGCACTTACCACGTTATTTCTGAGCAACTCAAGTTCCTGCTCCTTCGAGAGCAATGCTTCTTCAGAAATCTTCAGTTTTTCTGATATCTCGGCTATCTGAGACTCGGCTTCATGTTTAGAATTTTGTAACTCTGTCAGTTCACTGAAAAACGATGACTCTGTGAGGCTCAAGTGCTACCCCTGATACTAGCACGGGACGAATAGAAAATATTAATAATATTAATCTTTTTCCTAAACGAACCTTTCCGCTCGTGCACGTTCCTCATTGAATGTAGCATGCGATCTGTCCAGCTCCATCAGTAGTTCGTCTAGGCGGCTTTCCAGCTGCCTGCAGTGATTTTCGGAATCTTCGCACTGAGATCTCGCCGTTTTCTGCAAAACGATATTAAGTTTCCCGAGAAATGATCCTTAGAATATGACAAGATTCTCAACGGATCACGAATAACGCGGGAAGAACGCTAGGAAAAAAATGATACACTTTTCAGAGGCCGCCGTTGTCTTGTATATGACCTTATTACTGACATCATTTCGAAGTAAACTTACGCAATTATTTCATGTTTATGGCTAGTCTCCATTTTAGTGCATTACATAAATCCTTCTTTTTAATGACATAATACCACTGATTTATACCGCTGACCTATTACGAGAATGTACGCCTTCCTAATATCCATTTCCGTGAGCCATGGCAGGGTCCTAGCTAGAACGTGTTTTGATGTGCAAGGCAACGTTCATACTTCGCGATCGCGCGATCGATTGCGACCGGGGGCGCTCCTCCGCCAGTCGGTGCACCGTTGTTGATAACAAAAGAATATGACGAGAAGAGAAATATTGCAAAACACAACACTTTAAGCTGTAACACTCTTTCCAGAACGTTTCAGAAAACGCAAGCGTGCCCAGAAAGATGTAAGCAAAAAAAGAGCAGGCCATGAATGCAGCCCAACGGAATTCCGTTGTTACGGCGTTTCACCGATTGGCAGTGGAGCGGCCCCGATCGCAATACGCGCAGTCCAGTCGAGTGATCCAATCGCGCGATGGCTAAGTATGAACGCGCTAAGAGAGGAGCAGGATGTAGCCACGCAGACTGGTATTTATCAGCACTGGCGTCGTGGCTCCGTTCGCGTCTGTAGCTTTGGAGCGATGTTATTATTGTAACTCAGCGACGCGCATCACAGCACATTACAGCGCGTCGACACGATTCAT